CAAACAAGCCAATATCTCTTTCTCTCTCTCAAATCAATTTACCATTATAGCATTTCCATGATGTGTGGGGATAACAGTTCCCTCTTTTGGGTCTCAGAAACCCCTAAAAAACAGAAGCAAAATCTTTGCCTTTTGCATTGACTGCAGAGCCTACCATCTTTTATTTTCTTTTGATGGTTTCATCCCTCTAAAGGGGAGGAAGATAATGCAGTGGCAGACTGGCAGAGTAAGGAAAAAGCATAAGCATAAATGTCTGATGCACTCACAAGAAAATTAAATAAAGTCAGTTAATGCTTAAAGTAATTGTGGTCAACTTTTGCAAGGGTTAGTTGGTGTGGGGAGCATGCAGGCTGCTGTACCTTGATCAAATCTGGATCGTTGGGTTTGGATACTCAGCCAAAATTGGCAATGGACATGATATTTTGTGGCCCCTGATTGGACTTTTAAAGGCGTCTACAAGCCATGCACATTCGAGGTTATGCTGATGGGATACTGAGTCAATGCTCCTGATGATCAAATTTCTGAAATCAGGAGCTATTTTCATTTGGAAATAAAAAATAAAGGTGGATGACACACTCTTGAATTTTGGGTTAAAATACATTTTGATCAAAAAAATTTCGAATAAGGCCAACCTTATCCCTCTTTTAAGCACCTGAGTTTACCATTTAAATATGTGATTTTCCAGTTCAAGCTATACCACATAGTTGCACAATACATTTTTACAAGTCTTTTCTTTTTTATTTATAATTTAAACTACATAATCTTCAAAAAAAAAAAAAACTCTTAATATTAATGATGTTATGCAATCAAACTTGCATTCAATAATTAATTTAATTTAATTTATTATAATTTAAATTTTACTAAATATACATGTTGTATTCCTATTCATATCAGGCATTGTCTTTCCCTTTTCCCCAGGTATGGGTGGTGTTTTTTCTTGATCTTTGTGTCTGACTGGAGTGATTTGATCATTCAATAGTGCCCTACCTTGCCACTCCCACTCTGGAATGTCCTTTGTACCAAGGGTGAGATATAATAACAGTGTTGCTTTATCTGCATTCCTTGTTCTTTGCTTGGCTGCAGTACAAGGACAGTCCGTACTGTTGAACAGTTTGGTCATTGAAATGGAAGGTCTCTCCATTACTCCATCAATCCACCCATCCATCCGTTCCAACAAAAATTTCCCTTGCAAAATAGCAAGCCTACTTGAAATCATGGTCCAAGAACAATTAATCATCTCTACTGGGCCTCCATCTCTGGCCTATTCTTCTGCTAATTGGGATCCCAACAAAGGCCCAAAACCCTAAATTTAGCTTGCACGGCAGCACCATCCCAGCCCAAGAGAAAACACAGAGAACAATCGTAGTTTGCCCGTGTTAATTAAACTTGGTTATTAAAGAGTCTTTAAGAATTTGCAGTTTTTATTAATTAAGGGTATATATGTCAATAAAAAATTGATACTCCTACTACTAATAGAATTTAATTAAAGAGTTTTTAAACTTGTGTCATGCATATATGTTAAGGGTGTAATTAGTATATTTTTTAGTTATTAATTTATATAAAAAATAAAAAAATTAATATTAATTTTAATATCAATGTCATATATATGTTCTAATTTAATTAGTTAGTTATTAAAATTAAAATCAAATTTTATTTTTTTATCTAACTTAATTAAAAAAATGCATTAATTATTTTATTAAACTTTATTTTTCCATCTCTAGCCTATTTTTCTGTTAATTGAGATTCCAACTAAGGACATAGGTTAAAAAAATCATTTAATTAAAACAAGGGTATTGTATTTCGTGGAGATATAGTAATCAAACCTTTTTTTTATTTATTAGTTGCACAACAGAAGGCAATCCTCTCTCATCTTTTATTCCATCTTACCCACGTGCCATGCGACTTGAACTCAGAACCTTTTATTTTTAGCGAAAGAAAATTATCACTAAACTACTTAGATTTTTTACAGTAATCAAACCTTAGATATTCTAATTAATGTTTGCTAATAAATCTTGTTTATTAATTGTCAAACTAAAATTATTATATAATAAATGACATTAATGTTAAAAATAGTCTACTTTTATATTTTTATATTAATTAAAAAAATACAATTAATACATTATAGAGTAATATAGGAGGTTAGAAAAACCTTACAAGTACGTAGTTATACATGAATCCTTTTGTTAAGCTGCTGTGCCTAAATATTTCTGAGAAGTAGGATGCCAGAACATGGTCAACAAACAGAGTGGATTTTACGAAATCAAAAACACCTGTTTCTCTTTTGATAGAGAAAGGGTGTAAGTAATTAAGGATACCAACCAGTGGTGAAGCTAAGAATTTTAGCTACGGGGGCCGGATTTTCAAGTTTCAAAATAATACATTATAATTTTGAAAGTTTAATTTTATATCATAAATTAAAATAATACTCAACGAGTTTTCATATTACAAAATCTATCTATAATAGAATTTATACTAAATGTTTAAACTATTTCTTTTTCAATATAAACAATCAAAGAGTTTGAAAGGAATTCATCTTCCATTTTGCTGCGAAATCTTGTTTTCATAATTTTCATGGTGAAAAATGCTCTTTCTGTTGTTGTCATAGAAACTAAAAGAGTAAGTACCAAAATAATTAAATTGTAAATGAGACTGTTGATCTTTGATTTTCTAGTCTACACAAGCCTTTGATATAACTCAGAAATATTTGACAAATTCTGAAAACCCTAATCACAACTTGTTTTAATCTTATAATATCGAAACTCTAATGTCAAATGAAGTTTCTCCATCTCTAAAAAGTCTTGAGGATAGTATTTTTCTACAAGCTCACAAATGTGATCGATATTGAAACTCTTGCACTTGTTTTTAAGATCTAAAGCTCCACTAAGAGTCAATAGTTCCATTGCATTCTCATTAAACCTATAATTCAATTTTTGCAATTGGGAATCTATTGTAGCATTAACAATATCTATTCAATAATGATGCTCAACAATAATAATATCTTGTTTGTAACACCCCATATAGTTTAGTGAATAAATTAAAATTTTGAGTCTTTTATTTTAATATTTTAGGGACTAAATTGATTACATTTAAAGTATGTGAACCTTATGTGAAATTTTGAGATAATTGGGGGCTATTTAACTATATTTACCAAAAATTTAAGACATACGGCAATTTGTGAACCAAGTCGGGGGGGTTTCTCTAGAAGACTTTAGAAAGCCAAATCCCTTTTTCTTTTGAACTTATCCTCCTGTAACCCATTTTCTTTGCATCTTTCTTTTTCCAATTAGTCCCCTGCCTCTTTCTCACTTCTTTTTCCATGCTTGTATCCCTTGCATGATTAAGTTAGAATTTATGTAGTTAATTAGTCCTTGTTGAAACTGTGCGTGAGCTTGGAAGCAGATGGCTACTTTTCTAATTACTGTTCATGCATTACTATTCATGCACTATACTTTAATTTTCTTCCATAGAAAGTTCTATAGAATCTGTGAGCTATGTATGTGAACATTAGGGTGAACTTGAATTGTCAGTACCACTTATTAGTGGAAATAATAAATGGGATAAAGTTCTAATTTTTTTTGGGACATATTTTGAATTTGTTTGACATGTGTATGTGTTTGTGGTTATAGAGTAAGTGGACCTAAGCTTAAAGCTTGGGGTATTCAATGGACCCTCCATGGTATTCAGTGGATCCTTTGAGGTATTTAGTGGATTTCTACGCAGTAGGGTTAGTATTGTGATTAGCTCCAATATAGTGTTGCTAATACATATCAGTGAACTCCATAGTATTATGTGATTTTCGGTTTTGTACACTATGCTTGTGACATCACATTTATGAGCACATGGTTTTACGATATGAATTTGATATAAATGTCATTAGTTGTTCCTTGACATGCTTGATTATGTGTGAGTTAATTTGTGATATTGAATTGTTATTCAAACATTGAGATTTATAATATTATGTGATTCGGTTTAATTGTCTTTTGTGCTCTTTGTGTGTATAGGTCTAAGGGTCTTAAGACTTAAGTTTATAGCTTAAACTTAATACTTACTAGGCTTTTAACTCATAAAATTCCCCCTCCCCCATTTCAGATTAGTAGATTGGAGTAGCAGTCACTCAGCTTGAGAGCTTTGGTATAAATCTCGTATGTCGACTTCAGTGCTTTTGATGTGAAAGTGGATTAATGTATTACCAAAATGATAATTTGCTTTTATTATTTTTAGAAAGTATTTTGAAAAGCAATTGCTCCCATGTATTTTTTTGTATAAGTTACTTTTATGTATATGACATTAAGATTAATTTAAATGGGTATGGTCTGGCTTATTTTATAACTTCGAGTATGTCGATATTTTTTTTCTTAAGATATTTTTTATATAAATAGTTTTCCCTTGTAGATGAATCATTTTCCTTCTATAAAACTTTAAATTATTTTGAAAGCAGATTTTTCTTAAAGGGAAACATTTTATATTAGAAAAATTTTTACTTCCGATGCAATATTTTTTTATAAATACTTCCTACTGTTTTTTGTTTTTTTACCTTGAGGAGTACATTTTCCTATTTGGTAAACCATGAGGTTTATCAAAAAGGGGATGTTACATTGTTGATGACAA